TTTATTGATTTTGCTAACTTTGAAATTCTTTATTGATTAGGAAAATAGCTACACACACACACACAAAAAACACAAATAAAGCTAAAAATAAAACAAAGAATAAACTTCATAATTGAAGAAGTATGATAGTTAATGATGGATATTCTCATCTTTGAAATGAATCAAAACTGTAAATTTTGTTTTAGAATTAACTAAATGCATCCATACTTCCTTTACTGATAAATTTCATATTTGCAGGTGTATCAAGATAATATCTACGGAAAGGATCTCAAATTTCATAGTTTTAAATCAGTGATGAAATCAATGGGTGAACCATACTCACAGTAAGATTACTGTAAATTAGTTTTTAGTTTTAGACAAGTAAGCAGTAAAAAATTAGTTTTAGACAAGTAAGCTTAGAGCTTATGTAGTAGTAATTAAAAAAATAACGTTGAAATTGATTTATATTGATTTCTTTTAGAATGGAACTATGCTCATTTCATTCATGCTCGAAAGGATATATGGGTGAATGTGGTCTGAGAGGTGGATATGTTGAATTAATAAACATCGATCCAGAAGTTTTCAATCATTTACAAAAAATGACTTCTGCAAGGCTTTGTTCGACTGTACTTGGGCAGGTATGACATAATTGGTATTATAATTATTTTTAATTTCTTATGAAATTTTGATCATTTTTAAATTTCATAAATTATTTTTCTTATTTGTAGTGCGCAATTGATTGTGTGGTAAAACCGCCAGAACCAGGTGAACCTTCGTATAATCAATGGTTAGAGGTATAGCTTTTATATCGACTAAAAAATGCTAGATTTATGAAGTAATTTAGTTGATCTTTATAATACATTCATTTATGTTCATAGTTCTGTCTGATTTTAATCAATAGATAAAAAATCATTTCATTTAAAGATACCAAAAGTTTTAAGTTAAGATTGAATAGCGATTTGATTTTAATTTAATAAAATGAATTTGCAGGAAAAGACATCAATATTGGATTCACTGAAAGATCGTGCAAGAGCAGTTTATGAAGCATATAATTCCATCGATGGTATTAAATGTAATCCGGTGCAAGGAGCAATGTATGCATTTCCACGCATCGAAATGCCTCAGAAAGCAATTGATAAAGCTAAGGTTAGGAACGTAAATGACATTAGTTTTCTTCAAATTAAAATTTTGGCATTGAAGTTTTACTGAAATTTTTTTTTGCCAATCATTCACTATTATTTTGGATGAATTTTAAATGAAATTTAATTATGATAATTTATATAACTCTCATGCAACATACTAAAATAGTGCGTTATATAGATGAAAAATAGTTATTGGTAAATGGAAGAACGGCATTCCTCATTTTTATAAAATCAATTTTCCATTTTTCACTGCTATTGCGATCATTAAAATAATATATAAAATTTTGAATACGATCTATTTTTACTTTGTTATTATGAAATTTTTGCAGTCACTGAACCAGGAGGCTGATTTCTTCTATGCAATGCAGCTACTTGAAAATAGCGGTATTTGTGTGGTACCTGGAAGCGGTTTTGGACAGAAACCTGGAACATATCATTTCCGGTTAATTTACTGCCTTATTTGTTTTATCTTCTTATTTTAGAGCTAAATTGATGCAATAATATAGCTTATCACGATACGTGGAGCTTAGAAACTTCAAAGGTTACATTTTTAGTGATATGAATGGAGCAATTTATCGTGTTGTTGCTGAGTTGTTCTTATATCTCCATACTGTTAATTTTTCAACATTTTATATCAAGATTTAATCTTAATAATTTCCACTCATCGCATACGATATCTAAGGGGACGAATAATCATTGACATTCGTTTGATATTTTACATTCACATAACACCACTAGTTGTCATTTCTAATTTTTATATTAAATTCAGAACAACAATATTGCCACAAGGAAACATATTGCGTGATATGTTGGAGCGATTCAATAAGTTTCATAATAAATTTATGAAGGAATATTCTTGAATATCACTTATTATGTTGTGAAATAGAACATTTATCATTGTCTTTAAATGAATATCTCGATATTTCAATGTTATATATATACATATATATATATATATTTTTTTTTTAATTATTCTGATATGACTTTTAATTGTATTGATACCTAATTATTTGTTGTGTTGTAATTTTATTTTCCTACAAGATAACTATGTTTTATTTTAAGATTTTTTCCTCAGTAAAAATATTCAATATTTTGCCTTCTTTTGTAGAAGAAAGATTATTCGAAATTTGAACTTCTAGATTGCAAAAGTATCTCTCTATTTCTAAAAATTATTCCTTAATTATTCTTAATTAGTTCTAGCTATTATTTAAAATGAAATCATTAGCCAAATTGCAGCATAATCTCTCTCCTTTTCTTTCCCTTTCAATTCGTTGAATAAAAATTAGTGATTGCTGAATACAAATTTATTCAAATTAATTAGTACAGTTCATCAAGCATATTATTCTATTATGAAGAGAAGACTTCTAGAAAAATTTCAGTTTAACTTTAATTTTATCATTTATAGGGAATGCAGTATTTTCTCTTTAATAAATATACAGTTTCGATTTTAATGCGGAGAATTGGAAGTAAATTCATAAAATTTGCCTATGCGTTGAACATTGCTAATAATTTGAGAATGTAATTAAAGTCTGCTAGAAGATAATCCTGAAATAATAAGTATTGGAATATACCTGAAATAGTAAGTATTGGAACAAGCTCTTTGGTACTTTAATAACAAAGTTAAAGTTTTAACATAATTAAAAGAAAACATATAAAAAATAGTTTCCATCATAATAATTAGGGCATAATTACATTCGCAATAATTATAAGTAAATATATGTGGCGAATGAAATATTGAAACCATTCCATTCAGAAATATATTTCAATTACCGATATTAGTGTTAAAAAACGGATGCAATCATCCGGAAAAAAAACTTTTCAGTTTTTTTCCGACAATTTTTGCGAATCATTTTGAACATTTAACTTGGTTAAGTATCAAAGAAATATTCTTCGTTACAATTTTAAAGTAAGCTAGCAACGTAATTATTTATCTAACTAAATTAAATTCAAATTTAGTTTTTCAAAAATTTGTTTATAGCTTTTGTGAATTTTTAAATTTTTTCAAATGTGAAAATATTTTTCAATTTTTCAAATACATAAATTCCTGTAATAGCAATAGGTTATTAATCATAAAACAAAAGAAATTATGGATAGAATAATTTTTGTATTTCATTTTTTTCTTTTAATTATTTGATTTATACACTTTGAAAAATAAAATATAAGCGATGATAAATTATTGCATTTAATTTTATAAAATTTAATCATTAATTATTTTTAAGCTTTTAGGGAATTATTTCCTAATTTCATTTATTTCTACACATCCCACGCATTTCTACACCTCTACACCTACACCTTCACCTACATTAATGCTTTTCAAATATTTTAATTTAAATCGTAATTGTTTGATTGTAGTGACTATTGTGCTATTTACAAAACCTTTTTATGATGTTGACCTCTTTTCAATATAACTGAAATTGTCATAATTTTGGTTAATTACTTATATTTAAAGGAAATGATACGCAATTAATTACTACAATATAGTATTACTTATAGTAATTAGGCCTTAATTACAATAATATAAAAAGGATTAGTTATTTAAAATATCGATACTTCTAATTATATAATATTATGACATTTCTAATTATATAATATCATCTAACCAAAAATTTCTTTTATTATAAACCTATCAATTTACAAAAACTATTATATATTATAAATATACATTTGTAATATATTTTATATGCCATTAAGTTTTAACAATCAAAATTCGATGGTATTTCTTTTCTCAAATAAAATTTTTAAAATTATCATTATCGAATTTTCATACATTTTCACTTTTCCTCTAATTTCAACTTTATTACCTGCTTTTATTATTATGCATATTATTGTAATATTAATTACACATCAATATTATATTTAAACACTAATACTAATTACATTTCTAATTTATAAGTTTAATTTAAGGTTTTTTTGTTTTTTAATTAACACCAATACTGATAGCTTGAGCTATATACATGGGTTTTCTTTTAGGATAATATTATAATATTAATTACACATCAATATTATATTTAAACACTAATACTAATTACATTTCTAATTTATAAGTTTAATTTAAGGTTTTTTTGTTTTTTAATTAACACCAATACTGATAGCTTGAGCTATATACATGGGTTTTCTTTTAGGATAATATTATAATATTAATTACACATCAATATTATATTTAAACACTAATACTAATTACATTTCTAATTTATAAGTTTAATTTAAGGTTTTTTTGTTTTTTAATTAACACCAATACTGATAGCTTGAGCTATATACATGGGTTTTCTTTTAAGATAATATTATAATATTAATTACACATCAATATTATATTTAAGCACTAATACTAATTACATTTCTACAATTTATAAGTTTAATTTGACGTGTTTTGTTTTTTGGTTAATACTAATACTAATACCTTGAGCTATGTATATGGAATTTCTTTTAAGATAATAATATTAATTTGAATTTGAAATTCGCTTGCATTATCACGATTTTCAAGGGCTCTGTAAGTAGAAATTATTAAAAGTTGTTGACAGCATATTTTTTAGGATTGTTTTCAAAAAGTAAAATTACTTATCAAGTTAAATTTCATCAAAGTTAATTTATTGTGACAGAAAAAAATTTAAAAGAATAGAAAGCATCTCAGATATTTTTGTCGAAAAAGCACCTCAGATAATTTTCTCGAGAAAGCATCCCCGATATTTTTCTCGACAAAGCACCTTGGATATTTTTCTCGAATAAAACACCTCAGATATTTTTCTGGAGAAAGCACCTCAGATATTTTTCTCAAATAAAACAAAAACAATATTGAAAGTATTTTAAATGAAGAAATGAAATGAATAGAGTAAAATAATTTAATAAAATTCATTATCAATTCATTATAACTATATTTTATAATTTATTATAACTATATTTTATAACTTCAAATTTATTTTAAAAGAGATAGCTTTGTTTCTTTTATTCTTAAAAGAAAGAATTCGCTTAATTACTAAAAGTTATTCGAACATTTTATACTTTTAAATTTATTTTAAAATTTTTAAAAGGGATAATTTAGTTCGAAAAATTATTGAAATTCGTCTAGTTATTAAAAAGCAAAAGTACAAAAACAAATAAAAGAAATATTGGAATGACTATTATTACACAATAATCTGTCTGCAAAAGCAATACTGAAAAATACAGCAATTGAGAAAAGGTCAAAAAAGGTCAATTAGCCGTATTAAATATAAAAATATAAGCAATTGACTTTTTTAATTCGAAAATAAAAGTTTTTTATTCGATATTTTTTTTGCATATTTCTTAACATACATAAATTATTATTCGAATATATA